TGGCAAAGACTGTGGACAAAGCTGTTGGACACTGGAAAATTGATTGCATCCCCTTTGCTTAGACAAAACAAGGTCAGTCTTTTTCATGTCCTTTTTCCACAGAGAGGAAAAAAAAAAGAAACCTCTCACCTTATAGGCCAGGTAAAGATTGCTGTTCTTTGAGACATCTGCCTCCAGCGGTAATGGAGAGACTTGGGTGTGGCTAACTGTATATGGACTGACTTCTCACTGGCTTCTGTCACTTTTTAGTAGATTCAGATAAAATATACCCTTCTCAGATCTCTGAAATATTAATGGTTGTCAGCTTGACAGCATCAGACAGGCAGATCCACTATAGGCTATAGTCAGCATGTTAGCTGATAAAGTAATGACTACCTACTGTTCAGTCACAAGTTCAAGGTTTTTAAGTTTATTTTGGTTGTCATTTAGGTATAAACTTAAAGGGCTTTTCATCAGGCCAAATGCACCTCTGTCCAATCCATACATGGCTCTCTGGACAGAAGAAAAATGTACATGCTTCTAGCCCAAATGTGTAGTCATAAATTATAAATATGTTCCTGCTGTTTGAATTGAACAGATATCCAGATACCTGCTTTTTCTGCAGGGTGGGCTTCAGTAAATAAGTTTTAATCTCTGTTTCTAGTTTAAACATGTCTTAAACAGGTCTCTGCTTCTGGCAGACATCTGAGTATCAGTTGCTGATTAGAGGCTGTTCTAAGTAGACTGCGAGCCCTGGACTTGCTGTGGATGTGAACCAGTCCAGCTGATGTGGACACCCCCTGTCTCTGCAACAGAATCTGTCAACAGCCCCTGTTGGATTCCCCATTGCCTAAATTCCCTTTTTTTTTGCTTTTGACTAGCATTTCAACCTTCTGGGGTCCCTAACTTCATCCCAAAGTCAGCAGGAAGTAGCATGGGAAAGAATATGCCGTCCATTTTCCCTGGTTAAAATGCTAAGTCAGAAGGAACTCCCTTGCATGATATCTCTCACTCCCTGATGGGGGCGCTAGAGAGACAGCAATTCCATGATTGGAATTTCCAAAAAAGAAAAAAAAAAAAAGAAAGAAAGAAAGAAAATGGGGGAATGAAGGGACCAGCTCCCCATTTCGGCAGCCATGACAGTAACACGCGCTCACCATGACCTTGCCTTGGTCACTAAGAGGTCAGATGCCTGCCTCGTGGTAAGGAACTAATCAGAAGTTATCTGGTGGAGCTATGCTTTATGGCTCTCGGTGTGCTTTATGGACAAGTGCACAGCAATGACTCACAGAGCATAGCAACCACCCTGGGAGGGCCTAGGAGCCATAACAACCAGTTGACCAATCAACACAGGGCAACCCTCCAAGCCTGGAGCCACACAAATCCTGAGCCTGTGCATACACTTTGACACTCCCCTTATGCTGCCTTACAAGATCTCTCTGCAGCCAGTTCAAGGTGTCTTTGCTAGCCATCCACCATGGCGGGTGGGTGAAAGATCCGAGCTAACATGGAGTTAGCTTCTTAACAATAAAGCCTCATGCGGTTTGCAGCAAGAAAGAAAAAAGAAAAAGAAAAAGGGAAGAAACTCGGCAGTTCTGTTGACTCTCCAAGCACTTCTGCTGAAGCAGAGGCTGGGAACACAGACTTGTGGTAACCACAGCAACCAGTGTAATCTTCCCAAGAAAAACAGGTTCCATTTGATCCACATTAGCACTTTCACCAAATATTAGCTGGTTAAAGGGGACTTCTCAGCCCTAGAGATTACACCTAAGGTGCTTTGATCAAAGGGAGAACTAAGGTTGTGCGAGGTAACTTACCATCCACCAGGGAAGTGGCAGGGCTTGATGACAGACACTTTAGGTTTCCATGTCCAGTCTTCAATTTTGATCTTCTGCCCAAGGTCAGGGCTTCCTTGTTGTGGGACATTTTACTCTTTTTGGGGTCCACCACCCAGCTCCCAAATAAATCGCACAGAGTCTTATTACTACTTATTAATGCCCAGTCTTAGATTGACTTGTTTCTAGCCAGCTTTTCTTAACCTAAATTATCACATCTACCTTTTGCCTCTAGTCTTTTTCCTTTTCTTATGTCTGTATATCCTACTTCCAATCTTACTCTGTGACTGGCTGGGTAACTGGGTGACTGGACCCTGACATCCTACTCTCCTTGTTCTCTTGCTGCTCCTTCTCGTCCCAGATTTCTCCTCCTATTAATTCTGTCTGCCTTCCTGCCCCACCTATCCTTTCTCTTGCCTTGCTATTGGCCGTTCAGATCTTTATTAGATCATCACTTGTTTTAGACAAGCAAAGTAACACAGCTTCACAGAGTTAAACAAATTCAGCATAAACAAAAATGACACACCTTAAAATAATATTCCCCAACACTTCCTCCTCTCTAGAGCCCACCCACTGAGTAAGTAGTGCATGTCCATCCAGGGTAGGTATTGCCCTGTTCTCCATGGTATCACAAGGGTTCAGTTCCTCCAGAAGTCAATTCATCTACATTCAGTGATCTCAAATTTAAAATTGGATTTAGGTCAGTAAAGCTGTGACCACCACTGCCCTCACCCTCTAGACATCCCTTGTGTCTCCTTCTCATGGCCCACGTTGGCTCATCTTCATAGCCAATTTCATCAGCTTTAGACCCTCCTTGGAAACAGCTCTGGGCATGTCTGTGAGGGCATTTCCAGAAATGTCTGCCAACTGCTTCCTTCACCGAATAACACTCTGTAGCCTGTGTCAGCCCACCTCCCAACTGTGGAGTTGTGTCTGGATTCACACGGGCTAAATGATGCTTGAGAAGATCAAATGTCAGAATGGTTGGCTGACTTCTGACCAGGTTAGCAAGACACAAAATGGGGAAGACAGGCTCTTCTGCAGGGGAAATTGGGAAAGCCGGATCTCCACTAACAGGAATAAATCCCACCCTCACCTGGCCATGTAGGAAGACCATCAGTAATGGAAGCAGAGAATCCTAAGGAAACAGAGGGCAGCTTGGCCAAGATGACCTCAGCTATTCTCTTGGCTCTGACATCAAAACCACAGGCAACTCAGGATGATTCTTTTATGTCAGGCCTCATGCATGGTGGATAAGGTAAGCACTCTGCCACTGAGCAACAGCCTCAGCCTCTCACTGGAACACTCCAGAAGAGTCCTTCCCTGCTAAGCCACCCCCCTGTTGCCTTTCTGCTGTCAGAGGTCCACACAAGGAAGCCAATCTATCATGAAGGAATGGGAGGCGGCCATGACACATCACCCATGAACTTTACATTGGTGTGGGGGTAGATGAGGGCTGATATGTTGGGTCTACATCATGGCATGGACATGGGGGACCCCTGGGCATTGTTATTAAAATGGGTCTCTGTGTATCTGGGAGTGTTTTAGAAGGGACAAGACTGGAGATATAGACCAGTGTCATTGGGTCTGGGGCCTCAGATAGAACACAAGGCTGAGTGTGATTTATTCTGTGGTAGAGAGGACATGGGTGTTTTCACACCCCAAGACTTTGGGGTTCCTGGGTCTCAGAGCCACTAGAGTGAGAATTGAATGAATGAGAGCCAGGAAGACCCACCACTCCCCCACCAGAGTGATTAAGAGAGTGGGTTTTGGGGACAGGAGCTTGTGAGTCTGAGCAATGCCCTCCCACTTAGTGAGTAGGATCCAAGGGATCACACATATGGGGCTTTGTGGCCACACTGAACTATGGAGCCATTAGGTCTCTATGTGAAGGGTGGTGTGTGAGGGGTGGGGGGTGGGTGTGTGGCTGTGTGGGTGTATAAACCCAGAACTTGGAAGACAGAAGCAGACAGATTTTTGTGAATTCCAGGCCAGAGAAGGGCATATAATGAGATCCTGTCTCAGAAAGAATGAAAGGAAGAGAGAGAAAGAAAGAAAATAAATTAGTTTTGAGATTAACTCTGAGATTTTTTATTTATTTCACAGCTTCAAATCTCATTATAGCCACAGACAACTAAGTTTTAAAGTCACTATTGAAACAGATTCCATGCAATTTTATTTTCCTGCTCTCCACATCCCTTGACTCTGGAGTCTTCTGGGCAGGTGCTGCTATGCTCACAGGAGGACTCATGCTCAGTTCTCATCCACTTGGGGCTGAAGGGAAGGCAGGACACATCAGACCTACACTGCACTCATCCCAGAACTAAGGCAGGATGATGGTGTGAACTCCAGGCTAGCCTGGGCTATGCAGCAGAAGCCCACATCAAGACAATTGAAAACAACAAAGAGTAAGAAGCTAACTTGTTATTGTGGCATAGGAACCTCCATCTGCAATAGAAAACACACAATCATGTCAGGAGCCCACATTCTTACTTGGAAGGGGTTACATATGAGCTCTGAGGGTGGGAACCGTGATGACACCAGAGACCCTCGGAAGAAGGACAGCATGTCCCCATGTTGTGAAGATGGCTGTCAGGAATGTTTGGGGGGGGGCTTAGCAGGTTGAAAGTGTATGTAGCCCCACCAGAGGTCCCCTCTTTCATATCTGCCAAATGAGAGACAGGGCCTAGTGACCTCTCTGCTGCATGACAGCACTAAAGGCCACAGCAGCCACAGCTGCCTCCCTCCAGTGTCCCTTCTCCTTCCTTCCTGACCTGAGGTTTGCTTCCCTCATCTCTGAACCCATACTAAGCTCTATCCTGAGTCCATACATGACAAGATCTGTTCTCTAACATCAGAAAGACTCCTGCCCAACAAGAGGAAAGGTCCAACTGCAGGTCCATCTGTGTCTCTTTGGCTGTGACACAGACTCCCTGAATCCTGTTGGCCAGCCCCACCTCTCCTTAGTTGAGCATCCCTGAGCCAGTAGCTTCGGCTCTCGCATCCTAAAGGCCTCTGTGTGTGTGTGTGTGTGTGTGTGTGTGTGTGTGTGTGTGTGTGTGTGTGTGTGTGTGTGTGTGCAATCAACAGTATACTTCTCAAGTGCTGCCCACCTTGGCGTTTTGAGTTGTACTAGACTGGAGCTCACCAACTAGGCTATGCTCCCTCACCAGGGAGCCCAGGGGTCCTGCTATTGCTGATTCCCAAAACTGGAATGTCAAGTGCACGTATCCTTGTGTGGCTTATATATCTGGTTCTGGAGATGATGATATCAGGCTCCTTATCCTTACTTATGTGGCTAGAGTTTTATTGACTGAGCCATATCCTCAGGCTGAGTCTCTTGTCTCATCAGAGAGAGACGGACGTTATTAAGTTCACCTTGTAGAGCCCTACTGAGGGTCCAGTGAGTCACTGTATGATAAGAACACAGGATGAGCATGTGTGAACATCCAGTGAGTCACTGTTTGATAAAGAACACAGGACAGCATGTATGTGGATACAGTGAGTTACTTATGATAAAGAACACAGGACTCATTCTGAGCGAGGTAACCCAATCACAAAAAGACAAACATGATATGCACTCACTCATATGTAGATTTTAAACATAGAGTAAGGGATTACCAGCCTACAATCCACACTGCCAGAGAAACTAATAAATAAGGAGGACCCTAAAAGACACAAACTTTGTCCCCTGGAGAAGGGGAAAGGGACACGATCCCCTGAACAAATTGAGAGCGTGGGAAGAGGGGGGAAGGAGCTATGAGAATGAGAAGGGAGGAAGAGGAAGGATGCAGAGGTCATGAGGGAGCAGAAAGGTTGAGTCAGGTATAGATTAGAAGAAAGGATGTGCGATAGGTAGGGTTTTAGTTGGGGGGGTATTAGGGGAGGAGGGGAGGGAGAAGGGAACTGGGATTGTCATGTAATTCAATTGTGTTTGTAACTCAAATAAAAAAAAGAAAAAAATAGAAAAAAAAGAACCCTCCCCCCCAAAAAAGAACACAGAGCCTGAGCACAAAGCAGACACTCAGAGCAGAGGCTATAATTCCTTAGGACACTGAGTGACAGAGACTCTGTAGGGGTGATGTGACAATCTGAGGTCACAATGACTGAATGCCTGCACTGTTGCAGAACAACCTATAAGCCTGGGCATCTTTGGAAAGATCACATTTTTGTTTGAATATTCTTGAAATAGATGGAGTGACCAAAGCTGTGTGCAAGGGGACAGGATGATGACAAGGTCTCACCAGCACATCCCAGGAGCGCACTGGGGAACCACCACAGCATTTAAAGCATGGGTATTGTAGCGAGGCCAGAGCCTCCTCTGCCAGCAGCTTCCAGCCATCTGAGTTCAAACCAGCCACGTTCCCTGTTGGGTCAGCCGGGTCTAGGATCACAGGCCTGCAGAGCAACATTCAGAGAGGGAAGTGACCAGCTGACCAGTGCCCCAGGTGCCACTGCACAGGGATAGTGGAGGAGCTCAGCAGAGCACCCCTATCCAAAGTTTGTCCTGAGTCCCTGCCATACAGCATAGAGCAAGCCTAGAGACATCTTTGCCCATGACCTGGAAGGCCTGGGTTCAGTCCTCTAGCCTTTAGTAGCTGTGTGTCCTGGGACAGGTCCATCAGCTTCTCTGATCCATGAGATGGGAAGTCTCGAAAGATGGGGTATGTGAGCTGAAGACAGCACAGTATGAAGACATGCCCTCATCTTGGATGACAATTTTACTGCATTGTTTACAGTTAATTAGTCAAGCACTGGTCTTTTGTGCCTCACAGCCCTTATGATACTGTTACAGCTGGAACATCTCAGTTCCTGCTCCATGTACCCCTCCCTCTGCCGTTTGGATCTGGACAAGGTCAGAGCCTCAGTCTCCCCATCTGCAGACAGGAGAGGCCATCCCTGCCTCCCAGGGCTACAGACGCTCATGTCAATCAGGTGACTGCAGGACAGTGCCCAGCATAGTGACAGGACAGAAGATGCTCCATTGACACTGAGCTCCCCGCCCCCTTTTCCACACTGCTGCAGCCTGGTCCTCTCAGTGGGGAGCTGAGTCACATGGGGATAGGCTACCTGTTTTTTCTAAGCTGTCTGCGCAGGTAGTTGGAGACCTCCTGGTCTTGAAAATCATAATACTCTGTCCAGTAGATTCGAAGCTGCCTGTACTTGGTGACCAGTTCCAAGACTGTCCGGAAGCCCTGGGCTGTGTTAAACTCAGTGACTCCACTCCCACGTTCCCAGGCGTAGACTGTGAGCAGCTCCAGGGCATACTGTGGGGGCAGCAGCTCCCTCAGTTTCTCCTTACACTGAGAAAAGAAAGGCAATGAGAAAAACGGGTCTGCCAGCTGTTGTGTGCGGGCCACTTCTCACGGGCTCCATACAGTTGCCACTTGATGTCATTGCAGGTTTACTGGCACACAGCCACACCCATTCATGTAGATTCAGTCTATGGGCTCTCCTGTGCTATAGCCTAGGGCGGGGTAGTTGGGGTGGAGACTGTGTGGTCCACAAAGACAGCATTTACTGGCAGTCACAGGAGGAATCATGGCACTTGAGTGACAGCCAGGGAGTGAGGGTGGGGGCAGGAGAGCAATGATGCACACTATTGAAGGTTTCATCACAGGCTCTGAGGTAACTGGGGAGGAATTAAGGAGATGGCCCCATGGGTAAATTGCCTGCAAGCATGAGAACTGGAGCTCACATGCCCAACATACACATGAATGTCAGGCAGGAGAGAAAACCCACTCATATTCCCAGCTTCAGGGTGTGAGGTGGGGGTCCCCAGGAGCTTGCTTTTGTTCAGACCTCCTGATTCGGCACACTGTAGGCTCAAAGTGTGAGGCCCTGCCTGGATGTACAAGGTGGAGAGTGACTGAGGTGCTGATATCACATTCTGGCCTCCACAAGCTTATGCACACACATGCACACACAGAGGCACATGCTCCCATGAACAGGCATATATATACCCACACCAAATATATCTCACGCATATAATACTCCAGGAATATTGCTGGATGGATGTTTAAAGGAACCATTGTTTGACACATCAGGAAAGTGAAAACAGTGCATGTTTTAAAAAAACAACCAACTAGAAATCCATAGGTAAAGTTGGGTGTGAAGGTATACACCATTTATCCCATCATTAGGAGGCAGAGGTAGTGAAATCTGTGAGTTCAAGGCCAGCATGGTCTACATAGTGTGTTCAGGACACCCAGCGCTACATCGTGAAATCCTCTCTCAAAATAACAGAAAAAAGAAAGAGAAATCCAAAGACGAGAATGACACTTGAACACTGAATTAGATGCAGCTGAAGAGTGAGTTAGTTGACTGGAAACTGGACTAGAAGAAATCATTCATAACCAGCATGGAAATTCCTCCTTCCTCCCAGGTCCTCTCTCCCCCTCCTTCTCCCTCCCACAACATTGCCCTCCCTTGACTTCCCCCTTCACCTCTCAATTTGCTCTCCCTTCCCTCCCACTTTGCTCCTCATTTTTCCTTCTCCTCATCAACCCTGCCATTCTCCACCTCTTGAAAAGACAGGGCCCACAGTGGATATTCAAGAAGCCATACCAGTTGGTACCAGTGCTTGACCAGGCGGATGAGACTCTTTAGCTTGGGTGGACGATGCTTCAAGAAGTTTCTCTGGAGCTCTGTGAAGCAGGTGGAGAACTCGCCTTCCTTCCCCAGGGAGGTGCACTCCCTGATGAGTCTGCTATAGATTCCGGGATTAGGTTTGCTACAGTTGAGTTGACCTATAAAGAGGTTTTATTCAGCAAACACCCCAGCCCTTCTCTGAGGTTCTTTGGTCTATCTGGGGTGACAGACTCACAGGCTATGGGGTTCAGTGAACAGGGCAGAGTTTTACCACAGCAAACATCACTCCCCATACATCCATGTGCCCCACCACACCTCAGTACAGCATACACCATGTGGGCCTAGAAAGTCCCTACCCCCAACTGGTCTTTGTACAGTGCCTTCCTCACAGGCCTGGAGACAGTGTTGGGAGGAAACAGCTCACTGTGGTCACACACGAGAGGGATGCATGGTCATCTAATAATGGTCAACCATGCTCTGGTGTCCAGTGTCTTCTGCACGGTGTGTGTCTTGTGTGTACACTGCTGCTTGTGTCAGATTTACTGTGGAGCAGTCTGCTGCATTTGTACATCATGTATCTTGTGCTTACGGGGTCTGTCCTATGTTTGTATGGTGTATACATTGTTTGTGTGTGTGTTTGAGGAGAAGTATACATGTATGTTAAGAGGCCCAAGGAGGACCTAAGGTGTCTACCTATTTAGTTTGTCTCTCTGTGAATATGGATTTTGGCTGGCATCCAGCATACCATGGAGATTCTCCTGTCTTTGGCCATGTAGGGCCTATGTGACAGGTCAATGTGTGGTCCTCTCTGTTTAGGTGGGTGTCGGTGATTTGAACTAAGGTTCTCATGCTTGTGCAGCAATTGCCCTTATCCCTGATCTGTCTCCCCAGCCACTGTGTGTTCTCTCTGGATGACTTTCGGTAGCTCATAACTTAGTAACATGCAGTAATTTGTCTAGTCTGAGAGCAAAAGTGTAGGGGTGTGTGTGTGTGTGTGTGTGTGTGTGTGTGTGTGTGTGTGTCTGTGTGTGTCTGTGTGTGGATGCATGTGCACATTTGAGTAGACTAGGCAGGCAGCAGGCTGGGTCTTAGGTTTGTGCAGATATGTGGCCATGGCTGCAGCAGACCATACCATCAGGCTTTGAAACTTATACAGGACAATCACCTACTGGGGGACAAGCCCAGTCATGTCATACAGTGACCCAGGGAATTCTCTCCCTCATGTACTTATTTTCAACTTCAGAGCCCAGCACAAAGTCAGTCTCATCAGCTAAGTCATTTTGGGTAGGGATGTGGCTGAGGTCCTCTCTTGGGCTGTCGCCCACACTGCCATTTCCAAGGAGGGGCTTCTGTGGTGGCCCTACTTCCCCACTGCAAAGCTGCCTGAGGCTGGGGAGTCCATGACAAGACAGGCTTCTGGGGAGCCGCCCTCCCAGCTCATTCCTGGGTCACCCCCTCTAGGTCCCCTCAACTCTGCAGAGGTCTAAGCCTCTTGCAGCTTCCCACAGCATGCTGCTTGCTCCTGCTCCCAGGCTGGCCTCCCATTCCCTGCTGCCTGAGACTCTGTTTCCATGGCTCTCCTAAGCCCAGGGCAAGTGGCCTTGTAGCTAAGTTAATAGCGCAGTTCACACAGTGGCCAGTAGGGGTGCTGTGTCCCCCAAATGTAAAGCGTCAATTATTCTCTCAGCTCCCCAAACCCCCACTGTGCTCTCTGGGGTGTCCCTGGTTGTCTTTGGGTAGAGTTTGGCATTTGTAATTTTGGAGATGCACTGTGTGCCAGGCCTGGTGTAAGATTTAATGTAGAGGATCATTATTGTTTAATGATACATGTGTGCACATGGGGGGCTGGGGTGTGTGTGCTGCCTTTCCAGTTTTCTGAGAAGTTACTCATCCTGCACAGACACACACACACACACACACACACAGAGAGAGAGAGAGAGAGAGAGAGAGAGAGAGAGAGAGAGAGAGAGAGAGAGAGGGAGAGAGCTGACTGGCTTACCCAGGACATCATAGGCCGGCAGCACATCAAACTCCACCTCCTGTTGAAGTTGGTAAGAACTCAGTTTGAAGCTGAGTGCTCGAAGGTTGGATTGCTTTGAACTTTGAACCTCAAACTTCACTTTAATATGACTCCTATGCTGCAATTCATACAGCTGTTTCTTAATTTCCTGGATGAACTCTCCCCGTCGCTTTAACTGATCTTCAAAGCTGGTGAGATTGTTAAGGAACACCACCAGGTCTGCATCTGACCTGCCCTTGAGGGCTGTGCCTTTGCCTGAGGAGCCACCCTAAGAGACAAGGATGGAAATTTCAGGAAACAGGCAAAGCCATGTCTAGCGGTTAAGAACCTCAGCAGTGGAGTACTAGTCAGCCCTGAAGAGTGAGATCAGGATCTATGCAGGAAAACAGATGGTTCTGGATTTCCTCATGGTAGGGGAGGTAAGCCAGACTCAGAATGATGGACATCAGTATTTTATCTATACAGTCTAGATGTGTGTGTGTGTATGTGTGTGTGATACAAGGAGAAAAAGTGGGGGAGTTATGGGAGGCACCTAAAGGATGTGAGGAGCAAGGAAGGGTAATGGGGAAAGACTAAAGAGCACATGTTCTCTGATGTGAGATCTAGGTGCACACAGGTGACATGCCATCAGAGAGACTCTCCCGGGAGGTCAGTGTCAGGGGTAAAGGATGGGATGGTCGTGGGCAAGAGTAACTGTGAGTAAATTAAAATAGACATGTGAAACTACTGTCATGATCCCATTGTTAGCAGACTGTCAAGGGAATACACCAATAGTACACCACATGCTTGCATGAAGACAGCCTGTGTCAGTACTGAAAAGTCACAGAACAAAAGCTTAAATCAAGAGAGTTGAATTCACAAGGAACATTACTGAGAAAATAATGATGCTGAGAAGAGCCTCCCTAAATAAAATGCTGAGCACATTCACTAACATAATTGCACAGCCCACAGAGTTGAGATGACATTTAAGTAGCCACCACAGTGACTGAGTTAGGTACCATTGTCAGGAAGTGTCATTTGACAGATAGGGGCATGGGCAATGAGGTTCCATCAGTCCAGCCATGCAACAGGCAGGGCCTCTGCTCTGTTCTCTACACTAAGCCACAGCTGGGATGCACATGAGAACACTGGGCCACAGAGAAGGTAGGCAACTCACTCCCCACTCAGGGCTTCAGCCTGGATCCTCAGGGTCCTCTCCCTCCCCACTGGGGTCAGCTCAGGCTGAGGGGCGCTCACCTTCACCACCTTGGAGACCCTTACAGGGTGAGCGGCGTCTCGGAAGCATCTCTCCTTCAAGAAATCACATATGATCTTGATGGCTGCCTTGACCTCAGTTCTGAAGCTGGTGTTGGGAAGGAGGTGAGCCTCTATGAACTTGTCCAGGTCACAGGCCCAGGTCCTGCTGAGTCCCTGCTCCATCCTCAGGGCAGCTGTGTCTTCTGACTGCTGCACAGCCTCTGGAGTCAGCTGCACCTTATATTCATAGCTAGTTTCTCTTTCCCCGTAAGGGTGGGCCTATGTAATCACACTTCTGCATCTGAGGTCTCAGGCTCCTGGCCTCCCTGATAGTGTTTAACAGTAGGGCAGTTCTTTGGAATTCCAAATGCTCATGCTGCAGGAAGCATTGTTTGTATTTTCCTTCTTGGTATTCTATTGTTATTGAAAGAACCCCTAAGGAAAACTGACTCTGTGTAGCTGGATTCATGCCAACTTGACACAAGCTAGAGTCATCTGAGAGGCAGGAATTCAATTGAGGAAATGCCTCTATAATAGTGGACTGTAGGCTAGCCAGTAAGCAGCACCCTCCATGGCCTCTGCATCAGCTCCTGCCTCCAGGTTGCTGCCCTGTTTGAGTTCCTGTCCTGACTGCTTTTGATGATGAACAGTGACAGGGATGTGTGAATGAAACAAACTCTTTCCTTCCCAAGTTGCTTTTGGTCAGTGTGATTCATCCCAAAGACAGAATCCCCACGACACTCTCTGAGCACTATCAGCCACCATCTGTCAACAGCTCCTCAGCTAGGGGAGAGGGTTTGTGAGTGCCTCTCCCATCCAGGCTAGAACATGGACCGGCTTGACCTTGCACAGGCGACCACAGCTGCTGTGAGTGTTCAGAAGGTGCTGATTTGCTCCAGTTTTCTCCGATCTTACAATCTTTCCATCACTTTTGCTCTATGTCCCGGAGCCTTGGAAAGAGGGGCTAAAATACAGACACCCATTTGTGGCTGAACACTGCACAGATACTGTTATCTACTTCAGTGATGACTCTGCATTCACCACCATCGCTGCATAGAGGGACCTCTCTGCTGCGGTCACAGAGCTACACCAATTCACCAGCATAGAGATAGAGAGGGTAGCCCGATACTATGTCCACTTGTCAAAATACTCCAGTAGGCTCATTTCTGGAGCCTGTGAGTTCCCAGCCATATGTTCTTGACCAGATTACAGCACCAGGTTAAAGTTTCCTCTTGTAGGGTGGGCCCCAAATCCAGTCAGAATGTAGCTAGTGATCCCCATAACATCCATACCACTATTGCACCCAGGAGTGTGTCTTCCCAGGTCAGTCCTTATTGGTAAGGTTCACAGATGGGAAGATTGTTGATGACTTTAAGTGGTAGAAAAGAATGAACAGTGTGGTTCACCAGGAATGTTGTGGCTGGAAGATGACAAAGATATGACGCTAGATTCCTTTCTAATTGGAGCAGAGATGGACTCACTGACCTGGAAATGCCTGCTCTGTATTCAGAACTGAACTCTGGATTTGCAGGAAGAATGCATCTCTTCCTCCCTGTTCCCTTTCAGTCGCTGTCTGCTTGGTATGATTGTGGGTGACACTTTCTGCTTATTTTAGGGTCAACATTAGCTGGAAATGAAGACATTTCTCCATAGCTTCTGTAGGTTTTTTGAGTTCTGCTTTGAAAGTGACACTGTTTACTGTAACCACGGGGACACATTCACCTTTTTCTGCATCAGATTGCAACAGTCAAAGGTGACAAGGGCTTTTACAAGCAGGAAGTGAAACTGTCCCACAAAGCCATCACCTGTGCCTCTTCTCTTTCCTTTTCCTTCCAAGGACTGGAAGAAGAGAGAGGGTTTGTTGTTGTTGTTGTTGTTGTTGTTTTGATTTGTTTTGGAGCAGTTACATTCTTAAACAAGGCCAGGAATCATGGTGTGCGCCTTTAACCCAAATACTTGAGAGGCAGAGGCAATCAGATCTCTGAGTTCAAGGCCAGCCTGGTCTACAGACCAACATCCAGGACAGCCAGGACTACACAGAGAAACCCTGTGCTGTAATAAAAAAATTAGTAATTTTTCTTTTAACCTTAAGCTGTAACTCTTAAATTATTCTTGAACTTCGCCCTTGGAGAGCCTGCCTTCATGTCAGGGATTCAAGGACCTGCATTGCCTTTTGCAGTAACATGTGTTCAGGTGTGTGAGCAACATGCTGCTTTTGCACAATTTCATGGGTGAATTTAAACAGCATGAGCATGTGTCCAAACAACCTAGCTGTAATATGTCCTTCACTGTCCTGTCCGAGCAGTAAGACCTCCTTCAGTGTCCCATTCTATCTATAAAATCCCCTTCACTGTCCCATCCTAGCTGTAAGACCTGCTTTACTGTCCCATCCTAGATGTAAGACCTTCTTCACCGTCCTGTTCTAGCTATAAGACATCCTTCACTGTCCCATCCTAGCTGTGAGATGTCCTTCACCGGATAATCTGCCACCTTAAAGTCTTGGAGAATCTGCATTGAATTAAAAGGGTTGTTTTCAGGACTGAGAGCTGGAGTCAGGCTGAGGCCTGGAGTCCTGTAAGGACCTCCTCAGGTTGGAGGCAGGCAGAACTGGTCATAGGCACTTGTTTCCTTTTTCCTGTGAAAGAACATTAAAAATAACAATAAGGAACAACAGCCAGGTGTCCCAGTACATGTTTGGAATCCCAGAATTTGAAAGGCAGGGGCCCAGGGATCAGGAGTTCACGGCCAGCCTGGGCTACATATAACCACTGTCTCCAAAGCCCACTCAGCTGGCTTTCTTTAAGAATCTCAATGTGAGCCTGATAGCTGCAAGGTTCCAGAACACAGGGAAAGCAAGAGATGGTCTTCCAGTGTGCTAAACATCTGGCTGGGAGGATGGTGGTCCAAGCCCTTCCTGTCAGCACATTTGTGGGTCATGGTTTCCTCATTTGTCTGATAAATGAGTGGACTGGTCAAAACTTCCACCCAGTTCTAGAATCTTGTTTGAATGTACATGTACATACATGTATGTTTGTGTATGTCTCCATGTTCATGCATGCCAATGTGTGTTTCTGTGTGTGTGTGTGTGTGTGTGTGTGTGTGTGAGAGAGAGAGAGAGAGAGAGAGAGAGAGAGAGAGAGAGAGAGAGCACAAGTGTGATATGATTGTGTTTGGAAGCTAGAATTTGACAGTCTGTTAAGCCCTGGGTGAGCATTCTGCCAACTGAGCCTCATGCCCACCCTGGCCTCTAGCAAGCTCTGAGTCCAGCAGAAGTCACTTTCCAGTTGGATGGTGGTGGTGCACTCCTAGTTTTGAAGTGCTGCTCTGTGGGCAGCTTGTTCCGTGTCCCTGGGTAAGAGTTTAGGAATCCTCAGCTGACTAGAGCTCCTTGTTCCTATGGTTCCTGGGCTGTCCAGGTAGTCAGAAATCACACTGAGGCAAAAGCATAGCCATGAAATGATAATCTTAACAATGCCCTGAGCTGCTGAGAGGAGAGGAATTAGGGAAGGAGTAGGGAATTACAGCCCTGCCTATCAGTTCAGGACAGGCCCCACAAAGCCAAGGGAGAAACGAAACTCTCTGGAGATATCCACATGGATCTGTGCCAGACAACAGCCAGAGCTCTTGACAAGCTGGTAGCCCATAGCCTGCACCCATCCCCTCTGCTCGAGGATACTGTGCAAGGAACCCTGGCATCCCTGGACACTGCCCTTTGGGACTGGGGAGCCCCAGGGTCACAGAGACCAAGGGTGATAAGGGTCACCAAGGTAAGAGGGTGGGGCATCCCAAGAGGTCATCTGCTTGGTCTTCTGAGGGATGGTTCAGATGTTGCTTTAACCAGCCACACTGTGGGGATACTGAAGCATCAAGATGTCAAATGACTTCCAGAGTAAGGGCCCTGGCAGAGGCACAGGGTGGCCTGATTACTCCTATGCTCTCTTAAAGACTGTCTCATTCATTCCTTCACACATTCATTCAGACTCTAGACCTGACACTGCCTGAGCCTCACTGCTCATACCCACTGCGGCCCGATCTTTGAGAAAAAGCTAAGTAGCTTCTATAGGCTACAGGATTATACAGTGAGAATTCAGATGACACATCACAAATGACCCACAGGGATCATCACCCATTCCAGTGGAGGACACCAAATGGCAGGGTGTTTGGCATATTTGCCTTTTGAATAGTTGCTGTCATTTCTGTGGAACCCTTGTGAAACCATAGCATTCCCTTTTCCATAGAGGGATTTAGTCCCATAACCCTCAGTGGTCATCAATATTGGTCATAACCCTCCTTGTACTGGCATACTGGATGACCTTCCCCACCCTGTGGGGCCCTGATCCACATAGTCAAGAAACCTTTGTTCTCATAGTCACATCTATGCCCATTCCCTGATAGAAACTTAGAAGCTACCCATCCCCTCCATTATCTCTTGTGGCAGGACATCAGGCCAGGAGAGGAGCCTTGCCAATAGACAACATTGGAGCCTCAAAGGACAGGTACTGAGAAGGAGGATACAGCATGTCTGCCCTTGGGATAAGGAGAACTGGGCCCCTGATTTCTCTAGCAGCCAAATTAGGGTAGTGCAAAATACTGCCCCCTGCTCTACCCTAACAAGCTATTAATATTCTGGACTTACCTTCACCTCAGTTTTATTGATACAAGATCTTAGTCCAGGAAATTAACTGCTCGTTCCTCTACCCCTAGAGATGCAGGAAAAAGCTATGGGTCACTAACCAGCCCTGGAGAAAGGGCATCTTTCTCAGGCATCATGGGGATCAGAAGTCAATGCCTGGCATGGAGGCTGCAAGTATCAGCCTCTCCGATTTTACGTATTTTGCCTTGCATAACCATAGTTCTCCTTTTGATCAAACCACCTTAGATGTAATCTCTAGGGCTGAGAAGTCCCCTTTAACCAGCTAACATTTGGTGAAAGTGCTAATGTGGATCAAATGGAACCTGTTTTTCTTGGGAAGATTACACTGGTTGCTGTGGTTATCACAAGGCTGTGTTCCCAGCCTCTGCTTCAGCAGAAGTGCTTGGAGAGTCAACAGCACTGCCGAGTTTCTCCCCTTTTTCTACATTTATTTGATTACAAACTTCTAACTTAACTAGCCACACAAATGTAGTTTAACACACAACGCCCCCTTCTCCTCTCTTAGAAATCATAGTCCCACTCTCCACTGACCCTTTTCTCCTCTTAACGAATGCCAGGGACATCT